ACTCCTGGGTCCGGCACCCCTGGCCTGTCTGCTCTGTCTCAGCAGGATCAACTAAGGGAGCCAGTTTGGATGGGATACTGGGGAAGCGGGGCGCTGACGAACACAGCTAGGCGGTGGGGCGGGGGTGGGGAGGGGGTCAGCATCCCGTCCCGGGGGGTCCCAGCTCTCGCCCAGCCCCTGGTGCCCCCAGCTCGGGGCTCCCCGCTCCAGCACGAGGGGCAAAGCCTTGTGGGTTGGTCCTGATGGGTGCTGAGCAGCTAGGACACGGGGCCGCGGCTCTGCTAGGCGTGTGGGTGCCTCCAAAGGGCCACGCCAGGGCAGACCCCCACCCACTCACACCTTCCAGCCATGCATGTGCCCCCCTCCCTGCATGCACACCCTGTGGGCACACAGCCCTTTGCATGCATCCTGGCCCTGGCACATGGGCCCTCACTACCACGCAAGTGCCCACAGCCTTGCAAACATGGAGCTTCCCCCATGCACACGTGGCCCCTCCCATGTGCGTGCTCGTTCGCCCACTCTGTGAATACACACGTGTGCTCCTTCCCACATGCGGACATACCCCCCCACTTTGTCCACACACACACACATGCTCCCTGTGTGCACATCTCCCATCCCCACCCTACACACAAGTGCTCCCTCCCATGTGTGTGCTTCCCCTCACATACAAGTGTGCTACCTCCCATGTGCGTGCACATCCTTACTCAGTGTGCATACACACACATGCTCCCTCCCACGTGTGCACATCCCCACCCTGTGTGCATACACATGCACGCTTTCTCTCATGAGTGTACACGCACCTGCACCCCAGGCCAGCACAGGCTGGTGCACACTCACAGACACAAGTCCCCGCAGGGTGGGACACACCTGTGCCTCACACTGGCATGCACCACGGCTGGGGGCACAGTCCTGGGGCAGCACTAGCGCCCACAGGCACCTTGCACACACATGCACGTGCCTTGTCACTAGTGCCAGCTCCCCCAGGCTGGGGGGTCTGGTCCTCCGACCCCCCAGCCCTGGCACTTCTGCTTTCACCCAGCAGTTGGCACCAGGGTACACCCCCCACCCCGTTCCTCCGGATTTGCACCCCAGGCTCCTTCCCTGCGTGCAGCAGAGCCAGGAGGCTCCGGCTACTTGCGGGGGCCGAGTCTGGCTTCCATTTGCCCCCTGAAAGGGGCCCTTGCTCCCCCCGCCAGCCCCGGGCTGCTCCATGACACTGGGCGAGGGCCGGGCCGGGGGGACACGGGCTTCCTCTCGCGGGCGGCGGAGGGGGCGGCAGGATGTTTGCCTTGGCTCCAACGCACGTCCAGCTCCGGCGGAGGCCTGGGGCAGCGCCAGAGCCGGCTGCGCGGGGGGCGGCTACGGCAGCCCGTGGCCTGTGTCACCCCCCACCCTGCACCTGCATGTGCTGGGTCCATGTACCAACCCCCCCACCCAGGGGTGCAAGGCATGCTCTAAGCGCCATGGCAGGAGCTGGACCCCCCACCCTGGGCAGGTCCTCACTGACACCCCTGCCCTCCAGGACCCCCCAAGCCCTGTGAGCTGCATGTGCCCCCCGGCGCGGCACAGACCCATGCGCACCCGCCGGCTGTGCAAGTCGCTTTATTTCGGTTTCCAAACCCGTTTCTGGTCCCGGCGCCGGGTCCCCGGGGTCCGGATGGGGGGCCTGGGCTGGCCCCTTGACCCAGGGACCCAGCGGAGGGGGGGCACAGCTCCTGCTGGCCTCCATGGGGCTGGGGGAGTCTGTCCAGCTGCCCTGTTGGGTCTGGGGTCTCCGGGTAGGGGGGCTCTAGGCCTGGATGGGGCTTGGGGTTGGGGACCAGGAGCCCTGCGCTCAGAGCTTGCTGGTTGGGAGGTTCGTGGCGGGGGTCTTGGCTGTACACGGGTGACACGGAGACTGCGGGGAGGGTGACACGGCTACGCACAGCTGCAGCACACACACGTGGACAGAGGGACACGCAATGCAGGACACGTGGGTGGGGGGACACACTGGCCAGCCCCCCTCCAGCCCCCAGGTTTGCCCCTATATACAGCAGCCCTGATGCGCCGGCCTGAGCGTCCCCGGCTCCCCTGCACGCCTGGGCCTGGGGCCGAGCTCCCCGGCTGGACGATGGAGCTGGGGGTGGCGGCTCCACATCTGGGCTGGAACATCTGGGCAGGCCAAAGTCTGCTGGGGGGGGCAGGCTGGGCATCCTCAAGCGGTGGGGCTGGGCCGGTGTCTCCTGGCGTGCAGCACCGTGCACAGGCTTGGAGCTCAGCCCCGCGTGGCGCCCTCTCCCCCCAGGGATCAGCCCCAGAACCCAGGAGTTCGGCCCCCGCCACCCCGGCCTCATCCTCTGACTCCCTTTCAAAGCTCCCCGCAGCCAGACCCCTCCCCGGGCAGCACCCGGGCCTGGCCCCGGGCTCGACTGCACCCCAGGGGGTGGGTGGGGGTTACCTGAGCAGTGTCCCAGGGCCGGCACCGGGCTGCCAGGGACCGGCTGCTTTGCTCGGGGGGGGGGGGGGGGCAGGGGCGCTGCC